CCAAAATGCTGTTTCTGCCTCTGTTTTCCACAGTCTATTTTCAATGAAGAAAGTAGAGTGAACCTAAAGTCAGACCATATTACTCCTTCACTCAAAGTCCAACCCAAAGTTCTCCCATCTTGTTAAAGAGGAAAACTGAAAATCCTTATGATGGTCTAGAGTCCTAAAGAATTCTGCCCCATTACAAATCTTGCTGACCTCATCTGCTACTACACTCCTCCCATTTCCACTCTGAGCCACACTGGGCTCTTACATATTTTTTGATTATGTCAAGCTTGCTTCCACCTCACTTTCTTAGAACTTACTGACCTATGCCCAAACACCCACTTGAAGCTATTGCTCAAATGTAGTCTTTTTTCTCAGTTAGGCCTGCCCTGACCACTCAACCAAAGTAAGAATTCTTCCTAGCCCCAAATGGTTTATTTAATCTTTCCTTGCCCTATTTTATTTTTCATTGTACCTACTGCCTCTGATATACTACTTATTTTATTCATATATTTCTTTATTCTTCCTCTCGCCCTAGAGAAATGAGATAAGCACTAGATCTTGCAAGGTCTTGAGGAACATGATTAGGAAAATGGGAGTTTATGTGTTAAGAGCTTCTGGAGACTTCCCTGGTGGTCCAGTGGTTCAGATTCCACACTCTCAATGCAGAAGGCCTGGGTTCATTTCTGGGCAGGGAACTAAGACCCCTCATGCTGCACGGTGTTGCCAAAAAATATATAAAAATACAAAGACACTAATTTCTGAAAAAAAAACTGCTGGAAGGGTTTTTAAGCTGTGGAGTGACATGATTTAATTTATATTTTAAGATCACTCTTCCAATTGTATGAAAATGGGTTAGATGAGAAGAAGGCAAGCAAAGAACCTGGTTAGGTGGCTTCAACCAGTAACCCAGGTGAAAGATGACTGAGTGATAATGGTAGAGATAGAGAAATATGGACAGATTCACCATGTATTTTGGAGGTTAATGTAATGTGTTTCTGAAAGCATGTCAGACATGATGGTATATATGATTTGAGATATATAAATATTTTATTAGAAAGAATATAACAAGCACATCAGACTGATGACTATTATTCCTTGGGATGAGACAAGTTGGTTAAGCGAAAATAATCAGGTAAATAATAGCCCAGGTGGTACTATGATATGGTAAAAATCATGAAGCTAGGTATACACTGTTAATGGATGTGATGGCAGGTTAATGTTTTTCCACATTCTGGCTTGAACAACTGCATACAGAGCAATGACACGAAGAAGAGGGGAGTCAGGGCTGGGAGAGTTGAAGTTCAACTGTGGATAGTTTGAGAAGTCAGTAAGATGTCCAAAGAGAGATTAATCCTGTGCAGCTCAGAGGCGGATCTGGGATGAAGATAGTAACTGCTATGATACTAAATCCAAGGGAATGGATAAAAATTACTTAGGAAGAAATTAAAGAGAGAAAAAAAGCGCAAGAACAAAAGTCTGAGAAACTCCAAAGTTGAGAAGTCATATGGAAGAAAAGTCAGAAAAGGAGATTGAGGAGGGTTGGTTTGTAAGGCAGGAAAAGGAAAACCAGGAAAACGTGGACTCACAAGGCCAAAGAGTGTTTCAAGGAGGGAATGGTCAAGGATGTCAAATCTGCTGAGAGCTTCTCTAAGAGGAGGAAAGGGAAGTGCCTATTGGGCTGAAAGATGTTACATCTTTGGCGACAATGATGGGCTTTTAATGGGGGATAGGAGTCATACTCCAGCAGGTTAAAGAATAAATGGAATGTGGAGAAAAAAACCCAATAAAGAATTGGCACCTATAATGTAGTCCCACTCCATGAACTATTATCAAAAAAGAAAAAACTATTGTGAGACTACAATTTTTTTGTTTCTGACTTTCCCAGGTTTTGAACCTTCAGAACCAGTGATTCCCACAAATCACAGATCACTAATGCCAGTGAAGGAAACATCTGTCAACCTATCTTAGTGACTCCTGTAAGAACTGCTAATCTATATTGTAGAAAGAGTCGATGGACAAATGTTTAACCATTTCCCCCCTTGTTTGGTTTTCTTTTTGTATCTCAAATGATCAAAGATTTCAGGAATTATTTCTGCAGGCAGAGCAGAACAGGATGATGTGAAAGATAAAGAAATGGGGTATCTGGTTTGATGCTAGCCTTCAAATATTACTAGTTGGTGCATGAGTGTCATGGAATAAGTTCATCTTGCCATCTGGCTAGTGTTAAATGGAAAGTCACAGTACCTGCCAGAAAGAGCTTCAGAAATGAATGAATTCAGTGAGGTTTAGGTCAGCAACATTTGATCACAGGTGTGTCTAGTTCCTAAATGCAGATCCGCCATCACTGGCAGACTGGGAATTTAAAAATTGCTTGAGGAACTTAAGACAAAAAACAGATTCCCAGGCCTCAGTCAGTAGATCCTGACCCAGCAGATGTGGGGTGAGGTCCAGGAATCTGTATTTCTGAAACGTTTCCCAGTATTTCTGATACAAAGCCAAACTGCAGGAGTTGGTACTATAGAGTTCCCAAACATACAGATGATAGTTGTTGGTGAGTTAACAAGGTAGAGATATAAAATAATGAAATTTTAGCATTTGGAGGACTTTCAGCACCAACTTGAAACTCCCCCCTTTATTTCCAGTCAGAGAGACTAGAGTCCTGACGTAACAGTCAAGGCTACAGCTCTTCTTTCTGGCATTTTTATTACACAGACTTCCCTCCCTTACTCTTTAGTTAACTTATCTAAACAAGTCTTTAAGTAAATATATTTTAATTTGCCTAAAAGGCACGGATTACTTTTTCTACTTTGCTGTTCCCCTCTGTCGTTGTTGCTTAGCTGCTAAGCTGTGTCTGACTCTTGTGACCCCACAGACTGAAGCCCTCCAGGCTCCTCCGTCCATGGGATTCCCCAGGCAAGAGTACTGGAGTGGGTTGCCATTTCCTTCTCCAGGTTGTTCCCATAAGAGTAGACAAAGTTGAAACTGAGTGAACGCTTACTCAGCTGTGCATTTTTGACTACAGATCTCTTCACAGCTTCCCCCAGGTCCCAGTGATCATAAAGGACAGGGGCTACAGCTTTTAGATCATATAATTTCTCACAGAAGGAATGGCTGATGTGCGACATGTGAAAGCCAGACCATTACCAGGTGAAGGAATTATTAAGCCACTGAAGCAGGTTAAAGCTTCCAGACAACAGGGTTCTATGAGAGAGAACGGAAAAGTTGCTTCAGGGACAAGTAGAGGGAAAAAATAGTCCAACTCCTGTATAGGGTGTGAGCTAATCTCACAGCTGACACTCTGAGGGTAATTCCTGCCTACTATTTATAAACAGAGACTAAGGATAAAAGTACAAGATAACCAAATGTTTCAGACACAATTCAAAATATAAGATCTAAATGTCTAAAATGTGTCCAATATGTAAAGTTTTAAAGTTTACCTTTCTCAAGTAGGACATGTGTGCAAATACACACACAAAGGGTAAAAATGAAATAAAAGACACTGAAAAATTTGAGTAAAAAAAGAAAGTGCTAAACTAAACTAAGATGCTATAAAAAGAAAAGTTTGGATGACTGAAATGTAAAGAGTAGAAGTCTAGGACTAAGACTAAAAAGTTGAAAGCAAACAGCAACAAAAATCCCCTAAAATGCCCCATGATAAATAAGTATGAGCTAATAAAAAGTCAAAAATGAAACAAAAAAACAGAAGAATTGAGTAAAATAAGATTAAAAAAGCATTTTTATAAACAGAAGAAGCTGCTCAAGTGTCTATCAACACATGAATGGATAAATAAAATGTATATAAAACAAGTATTATTCAGCCACTAAAAGGAATAAATTTCCCATATATGCTACAATATGGGTGAACTTTGAAAACAACGTAAGTGAAATAAACTAAACACAAAAGGATAAAGATTATATAATTCCAATTATATGAATTATCTAAAAGGGGCAAATTCATAGAGACATAAAGTAGATTAAAGGTTTCCATGGTTCAGGAAAGGCAGGAGTGGGGAATTCTAGGTATATTTTTTTCAGGTGACAACAGGATTTTGGAAACAGTGATAACAGCTGTTCAACATTGTGATGTAATTAATGTCATGGAATTATACACTTAAAATGGTTAAAATAGAAACTTGTTACATATACTCTACTACAATAAAAAAGTCAAAAGAGACTAAAAATATTAGTATGAAACTAGAAATTAAAACACTAAAATAACAAAATATGCTAAAATATTGCACAAATATCACTCCTAAATGCAATTTAAGGAACCTCAGGACATAGCAAGTATGTGGTAGGGGAGGTTATGTCAAACGGGCAACAGTACCAGCAGCTTAACTCAAATAACTAGGATGAGCACATAACTTGACAACCTAAGACACTTCTGGGAAGAGTGGGAAGCTGCCAATAACTATAAATGGACAATAGGTGTAGACTGAGACTGTCAGAGGCAACGGAGGATATGTGATCATTCTACATACAAGGGCAATAGATCCTCAAGGTTGAGGTCATACCCATGGCTTGGGGTCTGGCCAGAGTACAATGGTCTGAAAGCATCTTCTACAGGAATACAGTGGTCAAGAATGCAAATCCTTTTTTCAATTTTTAACAGAGAAGTAGCACAATTAAGTGGTTTTCACTGAAGTTTACTAATTTGGGATTCATAAAACAATCAGCATATTATTAGATTTTATTAAGAGTTATTATAACAGTCCAGGAATTTTAGAAGGCAAATTATATTTTGAGCTGCACTGGTAGGCACAGGAAGGAATTCCTAAGGTGAATCATTTTTTATAAATGTACATTTTTACATATTACATTAGAGCTCTATAAATATATATGTATATATTCTTTTATACTTACATATGACTACAGACAACCGAGTCTGACCATTTAAAAAATCAAACCAGATTTACTGAAAAAATTAGTAACTGATCTCCTACCCATTCTTTATTTTTAAGCTAAAATTAATCTTAAAGGCCTACACAGAGGTTAATTCAAACAGTCCATACCTTACATGAGAAGTTCCGACTTGGGATGTTTCTTGCTAACTCTGAGATCCTGGGTTTATTCTGCAGACACTTGGTTAGCTGATATTTTTTCAATTTTATTCTATTGTAATAATGATCAGCGAAGTTACAGTGATTCAAGTGCTGTTTCTGCATGCATTTCCCAAGGTGAGGAATACTATACTTCAAAGCTTGGAGAAACAATTGGCTCTTCTGCTGCATGGTATCAAAGTCCCTGGCTTACGCTCCCTTAGGGGCTGCCAGCACATGAATGATTTTCACAGGAATGACTGTACAGCAGTGGGTTCTCACAGCATCTAAGATCTGCAGTTCTTAACTTTCCCCTTTGGGGCTGTGTACCCCTCAGGTTACAAATAACTGCAGACAGCTGATAACTCAGGTTAAAAGTATTGAAAACTTGTACAAGTTAGTTTCATTCAAGTCATACTTCTTGGCAGATGTGACTTAAATGTCTCTTTAGTAAGGTCAATCTTATCAGGCTCAAACTATGCAGCACTGATTCTGGTACACACATGGGCAAACTAAAAAAACAAAAACAAAAACGAAAAACAAAATAAAAATCTGCAATAAATACAAAGACTTACTGGGGGCATCTCAGGAACTCTGAGGGCTTTTAAAGGCGAACCGGCTTTGATTTTACATAATTCAGATCTTATCTTTTATGTGTATTGGGTTGGTCAAAAAGTTCCTTCCAGTTTTTCACAAGATGTCATGGAGAAACCTAAATGAATTTTTTGGCCAACCCAATATATGCAGGATGAACTGGAAAAGACTAATTACAGAATAAAGGTAAAGAAGGGATTAGTATTTATTGAGTGTTGCTACATGCCAGATGCTGTTATATTCTTGATCTAATTTAAACTTCATAGAAACCTGATAGAGTAGCTATTATGTTGATCTTACAGGTGAGCAAACTGTGGCTTAGGGAGGTTTAAGCAACTACCCCAGGTCACCTCGACAGAAAGTGATAGAGGAATGTCTATCTGCAAATAAAAACAACTGGACTTTGATGTTAAAAAGGGAATTAGCTCTTTAGTTGCAAAAAACACTTCAGTATGCACACAAGAAATGTGATGCCATGCGTCTTCTGTTGGAAAGCCCGTTCTGTTTAACCTATCTAGCAAGGTAAGTAAGGCTAGTGAGTAGTTAAGTCAGAGAAACCTGGGTTTAGGTCTTCACTCCTGCACTTCCACCTGTGCTTCGTTTAGTCATGTGCAAAACAGAGACAATAACCCCACTAACTACGGAGTAGTTCTAAGAATGAAACAGTAATTTATGTTTAACTCTTAACAAAGTGCCTGGAATGTATAACCACTCAGTAACCGTTGGCTGCTATTTTTGGGATAGGAAATATCTAGATATGTTGCACACTGTTGAATGTCATCATGAAAGTCTTCCACAAAATGTTTCTGGGTAGCAAAGGGAAAATACTGCGTCAGCTTTACCACAGCTCGGATCCGCTACGAAGCAGCAAAATAAAGGAGAGTTGAAATAGGGAATGAGCAGCCGATACCAGCAAAAACAAAGAAGTTAAATAAAGCATGAGAAAATAAAAGGCTCCAAATTACTACATCCTTGCCGGCAGCCTCCATCCACCCATCTTCCACCCGCAGGGAGAAGACAGCAGGTTAACGATGGGGGTAGGGCAGACACAAGGGTGTTCCTGGGAGAACCTATTCGTTTTCCCTGTGCATCCGAGGCGGGAGAGTGGTACCATGTGTCACGCAGTTAAGTGACATCAGTCAAAAAGCTAGGACTAAAGGACTGAGGGATGGCTGGCTGGGGAGGGAAGAGGTGAAGGGACGAGACCCCCGGCCTACGCCCCCCAATACGTACGCAAATTGAAAGTCAGCCTGGCTCTAGATACCGAAACGAGTAAAGGCACGCCCAGAGGACCCGAAGCTCTCAGGAAGGAGTGCAGCTGTCACCTCGATCGCGTCCTGCCGAAGTCTGCGTTCTGCAGCTAGCAGAACCACAGCCTACCCAGTGTCGCCGAGAGCTAGTTTGCAAGCACGTGTTCTACGTAACCCCCAACTAGCACGAGCTCTAAGCAGATTCCACCATCTTTATTGTGGTCAGGAATGGCTTTTTCTCCTTCTGAGATCATTATTGCTCAAAATACAAACCTTTTGGATCTTTGCTAGTCTTCAGAACTCGAGATGAAACAGAAGAGAGGAGAACAAAAAAGGGCAGGGTCGCGCTAGATTTGCCACAGTTCTCGCACCCGCTGGTCTGCCCTCACCCAAGATGGCCACCAGCAAAATGGTGCAGTGGCGACAGTCGCGCTGCCCTGGTTGCTAAGGGGACGCGACTACCGGAAATGCGGCATTCGGGGAGGGCTCGGGAGCTAGGGCAGTGGGAGGGAGGCCTGGCGTCACAGGTCCTGACTGGGAAGAAGTAGGCAGGTCCTTGCAGGGGAGAGCTGTGGCGGCAGGATCTCGGGTATAAGAGGCTCTAGCGGGATGGAATCTCAAATCTCTGACGCCGCCGCCGGACAAGCAGAGCAGACGGCAGGCGAGGGCCAGACAGACAGCGGCGCCGCTCCGGGACCCGCAGCCTCGGCGCCCTTGGGTGCCGCCCGGTGGAAGCTCCTGCGGCAGGTAAGGGAGAGCCCTCTTAATTCACTATTGCCTCTGGCCACTCCCCTCGCAAGCGGTCGGTAGCTCTTCTACCCTTGGAAGCTCGGGGAGTTCTCTCACAATTTTACCCGGAGCCGCCTGAGGAGCGCCCCCTTGATTCCCCTACGGGTCCCACCAAAAAGGGAGGCATCAGGTGGCATCGGTAGGGAGGGGCTAGCCAAAGCTGAGTCCTGAGAAACTTCCGATAGGAGTAGAAGATTCCTTCCTAGACATTAGTCTGCATCTGGGGGACTTTTCTGCTTGCCCGCCAGTAGGGTTGGTGGAACCGCCGCTCCGCAGCCCACACTGCTCTTTTCTGCTTCTGTTTTACTTTCTTCCCCTGGTTTCTTCTCCTTGCTTCTTAACTCCTAGCCTGTTTCTAGCCCCAAATCTGGCCACTCTCTTGGTGATCAGCGTGGTTGACTGTGTAGGGACTGTGACGTTGCACGTGTTTGGGTCCCTTCCGTGGAGCTGAGATCCAAGGGAGTTGTAAAAGCTGCCCCCGCCCACCCCTTCTCTTTCACGCGATAGTTACTAGTTTATCTTGTAGTTTGAAGTGATCAGTGAAATCCTTGGCGTCTCTGTGTGTTGTTTACTGGCGGTTATCTTTTAGCACTTCGAAGATGCCGCTGTTGCTGGTAACTTCAGTGGTGTGCCAGTTTGAAAATTTTCTTATTTGACATCACTGACACTCCTTGCCAAAGTGCTTGAAATGAAACCTGTTGTTGATACCTCAATGTTATGCTTCTGCCTGGGGTTTCCTGCTGAAACCTTTATTCAGTAGGACACTTTGCATTTCTGATTTGTGTTTTGAGAAGAGTTTCTCAGCTACTGCCACTTTATTTGAGATTGTGTGTTTAGTACTTTGGAGGTTACTTTGTTTGTGGTTGTCTGGAGTCATCTTTTCGTACTGCGGCCTTCCAATGCTGTCATGAACACTCAAAGACCTTTTCTTTGCTGACACGTTGACAGCCCTTGGCAGAGCATTCAGGATCTGGTTTTGCTATTAATGTTACAGATGCTATTATAGGACAAGAAAATGCATGACCTTATAGATCATTATTGTAGGAACTTTCTGTAGTGAAGTAAACAAAGCTGAATTATCAAAATAGTAAATTAAGGCTTTAAAATGATCAGTCAAACCTTATTATGATGACAAGTGACTCTTAGTAAAAACTCTAGTTGACCATCATTTATATTCATTCTGAATTGCTGTCTACTTTAGCATAAGGGTGAGTTTCAGCCACGGCTGCCATTTGAACTCCTCTCACGCTTTGAAATTTAATGTTTTAGTATATTTGTGCTCTCTGCTTAGAGTCTTTCTGTCTACTTCTCTACTTAATAAATGACTGTTCATCCTTCAGACCTCTGTGTCTATCTCTTCTTATGGGATGCCTCTGCTGACTCCTCTGGGCTGAGTTAGACCCATAGGTGACTCTATGCGTAACCCCTTTTCACATTATTTTATGACCATTTGATTAGAACCCATCTTTCTCATGAGAATAGGAATTCTCCCTGGGGAAAGATGTTTTTTTATTAACCTCCATCTTCTGCACAGGGCCTGGGTGGTTAATTTTTGTTGGTACTGTTATGTGTTGTGGAAAGCCTGAGAATAAGGACTGTCTTTAAGTGGCCCACAGGACCTTATCCTCAGTGTATTGTATCAGTGAGCTATCGCTGAGTAACAAATAACCACACCATCGGATATTAATACATACACATACTGTTGCATGCAACGCCATTACATACATCACATACTGTTGCATAAAACAGTGAGCATTTATTCTGTTTGTGGGCCACCTGGGAGTTGACTGACAGGCTGAGATCAGCTGAGTGGCTCTAGGCTGCATGCTTGGTCCACACGCCTCTAATCCTGAGATCAGTTGGCTAACATGTTTTCATGGTAATGACAGAGGTATAAGAGAGCAAATGCGACCACTGAAATATATTAATATTTTAAATACTTACTGATATCCTGTTAGTCAAAATAAGAATCTTAGTCAAGGGGACAGAGAAAATATGTTTTTTTTTCCCTTGGAGAGGGCAGGGGAGAAAGTGAATCTTTTTCTGTAATAACTGAATCTATCCATGTGTTTTAAACATTTGCAGGCTCTTAGTATGTTTCAAGTGAACAGACCATTTGTATCTTGTGAGCATCCAGAACTAGAAAACCTAGAAATCTGAACAATGCTAGAGATATGAATTCTTTTTCTCTTTCTTATGGGACATCTTCATGACATCTGCTTATGTCTCCTTTTTTCTCCTCACAATTCTGTGTTTCTTCTAGGGCTCCAGTGCTATCTCATGGCCCTCTACCTTAACTATCCAATATTTTCTGTCTTTTATAATTAATATTTTTGGAGAGGAAATCTGGTTGACCTAGTTTGTCATTTGATACCAGGTCACATGATAAATTGCTGACTGTTGAATCTAGTGCCCACTTGAATCAGATGAGGTCTGGAAGTCTATGGATCAATATTAATAGAGGCTGTGGATATTGTTCATTTTTCTTCTTTGTTGAGTTTGACTACCTGATGGCAAAAATAGCTACTTCATCATCCACCCAGCTAGTGATCCAGAAGAAATAACCCTTTTCCCTAACACCCAAATCATTTCCTCCAAACAACTCTAATAGGCCAAGTTTGAACCAATTGCTGTTTCTAGGAGAATTGTGCACTTTGACCTGGGTCATCAGCCCACACTGTGGCAGGAAAATAACAACCCTGCCATTATTGCATAGAGTGAGGGAGGGGCATTTTCCAAGAGGAAGGGATGTAGAGCAGATGAAAAAGTAGCAGTGACCCTTACATGCTTACGCACATCTCATAACCACCTACAGAATGAATAATAGGACCTAGACATCTGAATACTTGGCTGAAGAATCCGATTAATGGAATATTTTATAGTACAATTTAAATTAAAGCAGGTAATATACATTTGAGACTGTCAATGCAGAAAGAGACAGGATGATTTCTAGAATAGAATGTAATACAATTTGATTTTAGTCCCAGATCTACCTATGATGATGAGCAACCTATTTGTACCTCATTTGTAAATGAGGGAGTGGGACTAGATTTCTTTAAGATCTCTTCCGTTTCTGATTATTTTAAAATGAAATTATTTTCCAGGGTTAGAAATAGTCTATTTTCTAATCCTATTATGATTTCCTAACAAAGAATTTGATTTATTTTTAACGTTTAAAATATTTGTTTATTTTTAACATTTGAAAACAGCTTATGGGGACTTTCCTGGTGGTCCAGTGGCTAAGACTCCTTGCTCACAACGCAGGGGACCTGGGTTTGATCCCTGTTCAGGAAACTAGATCCCACATGCCACAACTGAGAGTTGCATGCCACAACTAAAAGGATTGCTCATGCTGAAATTGAAGATCCCACAAGCCACAGTGAAGATAGAAGATCCCAAGTGCTGCAACTAAGACCTGTTGCATCCAAATAAAGAAACAAATATTTTTTAAGAATAAAAATAGCTATGTACTGGGTAAGTATGCAAAAATGGGCATCCAAGTGAGATCATCACAGTACATTTGTCAGAAAACTGATTTTTATGGTATCAAAGAGAGCAATCTAAAACAAAATATAAACAGTATTTATAGTATGAGCCATTTAAAACTTATTCATAGCTATATGTATATGCATAGATAGATGTTTAGCTTTGCTTTTCCCGAATGGTAGAATTTTGAGTGGCTTTTTATTCTTCTATACTTAAACTTCTTTTCCAGTGAACCTGATTATTTTCAAACAATTTTTCATCTATTCCCAGATGTGTAGTTTTAATTATAACATCTTTGAAATTGGGATATGTCTTTTAGTTGATGGCATCCCAGTCAATAGGCAGCCTATTCTATGTAACATCAGAAGGAAGAAAAAAAAATTGTATCTTATAATCAATGATGTATTGGATTTTATGAAATATAGTCAGGGAAAGAGAGAATTGGTTTTTTTTGGGAAAAAATGGAAGACCGTTGACTACCAGAAAAACATTTCCATGTGAGTGACCAAAATCCTTCCCAGAACAAGATGCTAAACAATAGGAGTACCTATTACCTCATTGACTAATTGAGAAAGTTGGTTAAAAAGGTCAGTCATGAAAATGATATACACTAAAATGAAGCTACAATCTGAGTGTCAAATTGTCCTAACTAATTATAATTAGTTCTCTAAGTGTATACAGCTGACTTCCCACAATGAAACTGGTAGTAAACTTTTAAGCAACTTAACTTCTCAAGCAAACTTACCTTTATCTTTCCAAAACATTCAACCTAACTTTTATGGAAGAGATATAAAAATAAAATGGAATAATGTTTACCACTCCTCATAATTATTATTTCATTAGTTTTTGTAATGTTTAATACATGACGATAGTAAGAACAGCTGGTGTAAAGAGCTTGTGAAAAAGGCCAATTAACTTGGCATGAACTCACTGGGGAGGGCAGGAGTAGCACCTTGGCACTATGGAGTTCACATGGCCCAGTCTGAGTATTTATTTAATAGAGGGGACGAAGAGGGTCCGCTAATTGAGAGTCAGTTACAAGAGATGCTGCTGCGTTTTGTGCCCTGTTTATGCCTCCCAATTCCTTGATAGAAAATGGCAAACAGACACCAAGAAACCATGTCTTAGAAATGCTTGTGCCTATACATCTTGCACTGAGAATTGTTGTTTAGATCCCTATGTAAGTGAGGAGTTGAATGGTGGACTCTTCATTGGTTTTTATTGGCATCACTAGGGATCACTTTCTACAGCAGCAGCTGAGCAGAGTCATTCATGCTCTTTCATTCCCCCCCTTTTTTTTCCTGACATTTTATACATCATTGTATTTATAAGGATTTTTCACATTGTTGAAGTTAAACTTACATTTCAATTGATTATAGACCTTTATACTGCTGTGTAGTCACAGATGACATAGATTTTTGTGTGCTCTGTGGAACATACTTTAACCTTAAGCATCTAAATTGTAATGCTCA